AACCAAGCCCAGACCAAACCCCAAACCCAAACCCAAACCCAAACCCAAACCCAAGACCCAAACCCAACCCCAAACCCAAACCCAAACCCAAACCCAACCCACAAAGATCAGGTAATTGGGTATGAAGGTCTTCCGTAATTCGCCGCCTGGGATTTTTTGCCTTCTCGTATCGCCATGTAGACAGTAATATTCGTCTTGGCCAAACCCGAATTTGATTATAATTAGTGAACATCTCTGGAATATTTAATATTATCTTAATTACTTTAGAATTGAAGGGATGATTTTAATGTGATAGTGCATAGCAATTCAGTTTTTATGGAAAAAATATTTAATATTTTTTGAAAAAATTGAACTGATTTGATGCGTTAAGAATAAATGAACTTCAAACTTTTTAAATGATAAAATAAAGAAAAAACAATTTATATCGTTAACTTCTTTATTTTAATTCATAGTAGAAGAACCAGTTTTTACGATATCTTTCATTCAATGCTGCTTCATTCATCCTTCAAGTAAAGGAAATTGCAGAAGGAAAAAAAAAGAAAACTCCTAATTATGTTTATTCAGAGAATAAAAGAGCCTCAAACCAATCAAAATGAATACTATAACCATAAGGCTAAGTTATTTTAGCTCATAAATTTAACAAGAATCTAGTCATAGGAAAATATTTCGATTTAAGCTTTGAAACTTTATTTGAGATATTTCTTAATTATTATAATTTTAATAGAATTAAGAAAGATATTAATTTTTTTTTTCAAAGTATTTTATTTTCTTATGAATCAACTTTAAATTAGTGATGAAGGAGTAGCAGAATAATTGGTAGAATTATGTGATCAAATAAATGAGGGCATCTGGATTGATGAATGCGAGATTTTTGAGATGTTTAAAGAAATATTTGAAAAATTGAATGAGAAAGATCAAAAGGCTGCTCTTGTCTACATTAAAGCTAATTAATAAACCTTCATCTATGTAAAGAAACTCGAATTGTAATATAATACAGAAGATGTTTCAAATGAAATCCAGGAAGTTATCGATTATAAAAAGATTTACTAATAACT